TGAAAGACATTGTGACTTATTGAATTTGCACTAGATATCTTGATGCATTAGCCTGATGCAGTGGATGGGGAGGGCCACGTGCAGGGTGCAAGGCTGCTGCAGGGGCTGCCCACTGCTTTCCTTAGTTTTGCTGGAACAGGCAGGAAATGTAGCGATTCACACACTGATGAGGGTGAAATCTTCCAGACAAGTAAGTTGTAGTCAGGGATAGAAGAACAACCAAACAGCGGCTGCCAACCCGCAGGTGGCCAGAGCTACAACTTACCTGAAATCAGAGGGATTCTGAGATGACCTCCAATCAATCATCCAGAGACATCCAAAGGGTCTGACAGGATCACAGTGGTGCCCTACACAAGGAGCCCTCCTGTGTGACCACTCTGGGGGCCTTGTAATGAGCCCCAGGTTCTCCTCGCTGAGCTAAAGCAGCTCCCTACCCTGGACCTCCACCAGTTCCTCCCAGTGATGAAAAGGCTCCACAAGGCCAGCGACTGGAGTGAAGGTGCTAGGCTGCCTGAGGAAGTCGTCCTGGGTAGTGAACTCGATTCAGGGAGCCCCTTCACACTGTCCCCTATGAGTAACAGAGAGCAGGTGGCTTCATCCAGGAAAGGGGGGCATGGGCAAAGGGCCAGAGAGGAACCAGGACCTCCGTGTTATCATCCCAGATCTTTCCCTAAAAACGCTTCCCTTTTTAGGGGCATCAGTTGCACTATATAGAGTTGGGTTTGAGCTGATGCCAACAGAAGAGCAGAGGAAGGATCCCTGAGAGTACTCACCCTGACATGGGCATAGAAGCCAGTGGGCTTCCTTCAGGGAGGAAACTACCAGCTGTGCAGACTCAATTACCTATTCAGAAAATGGGGAGCTACCAGCATATAAAACAAAATGAGGGAAAACAAGCTGACAGCTTCTCTATCCATCTAATTTCACTGGGTGTTATCCTCTTGGGAGACCTCAGAAATTATCCCTCCCAGGAAAGAGGGGAGAGCTGGGGAGAGAGACAAATTGTTTACTAAACAACTCAAGGCCTTCATAAATAGAGCAACAATGCTTTACACCTTCTGGTAGTGAGATTTTCTTTTAAAAGACCTTATTTCTGCCCGGGCCTTATGGCAGGGAGTTGGGGCAGGTGATATAAATTCCCTTAATGGTGGGTTGCTGAGACCTACAGGACTTATCCATGTCCTTAAAGTCACCCAGCAAACTAGAGGTGTCATTGAGACTAAATACAGGTTTCCTAGGGAGGGATTTTCTTTCCCAGAGGCCAGCCCCAAGAAGGGGCCTTTGAGCAGAGAGAAACTCATTCCCAAACTTGCCTTAGCCCTGAGAGGAGGAGGAGGCCACAGAGAGGCAAGAGGGAGAAGCCTTCTCCAAACCCACTTTCCTAATGAGTTTTCAGGAGTGTGGCGCTTTCCCTTAGGGCCTTGTTAGTGGGGCCTCCTAGGACTGTGCCTTGGGGCACCTGTAATGGTTCTGGAAGTGGTGATAAAGAGCTATACCTACTAGAAGGACCTCAGGGATGCTGCCTACCGAAATGATTCAATATGATTATCTAGGCCAAGCCCTTGAAAATGGAAAGTCCTGGTGAAGGTCAGAGATTAATAAATAGAAGATGTGTGAGGTGGAGACATGTGTTCCCCCGACCCCTATACTCACCAGTAACTACTCACCCAACACCCCATGCCCCAAGAGAGAGAAGCAGAGAAGCCTGGTGCAGGAGAAAAGCACTGTAGACAGACCTGCTCCTCTGGTTACTAGTTGTTTGACTGTGTGCAACCTGTTACACCTTTCAGGGACTCAGTTTCCTCATCTGTGAAATGAGTATATCTTCTATCACAGGTTATTAGTGAAGATTATTAATGAACTAAGACTCATTAAACTGCTAGTAGAGGTTCAACAGTACATAACATTTATGAGTGCTTGTTACAGACACGGGAATGTAGAAGAATCTTACATGCCTAGAGTCTGTATCTGACCTCACAACAATTCTATGAAGTAGATTAGAGCATTCAGAGCTGATGTTCTGACTCATATCTTGCTTGGCCCTTCTTCTGACTTTAGTCTTGGCTGGGTTGGAGAGTTCTCTACAGGTTTCTGTTCACTGTGAGCTGACAGACTGTAGCCACTTCTTTGGAATCTTCTGATGCCCTGAACAATAGAGGGCAGAGGTTGAGGGGAGGTCGGGAGAGGAGAAGCTCAATAGATCTGAGCACGTTGGAACTCAGAGAGTAAAGGACAACTTCAAAATAGGATACAGGAACCAGTGGAAATGCCCCATTGCTTCTTAACCAGGCAACCCTGATAGGCAATCTATATGCTCTCGCACAATCCAGTTTCTGCTGTCCTCAGCAGGGACCTTGGTAATGACCCTCAGTCAGGGGTACTTCTTTCTTCTCTGTGTCACTCTCGTCAGAGCCTCAGTGTTGCTCCCTGGGACCATCTCCCCAATAAAAAACTTGCTCTTGCTCCCTGAGATGACTTCTCATTTAAACTACACAGCATCTTGTCTTGGGCTCTGCTTGGTGGGAGCCCCAGTCTGACAGTTGGCCATGGGATAGCCCTAGGAAGCACATTCTCCAGCTGCAATTCTGGAACTGTACCATTCACCACTGCTTGGAGAAAGTGGGGCTGGTGTTAATCCCTAGCATAATTGCTTGCTTATGGTAGGTTGGGATGAGGTGCATGTGGAAGATGAAACACTGGATTGTGTATTAGTACTAGCACACTAATTTTATGAGAACCATGGTATTTATAAGAATAGGGGAGTTTTAAGAATAAAGAGTGGTCTTTGTTAACTTTCTTGGAAGTCTTGACGAAACAGAATGATGGGCCCAGGTCAACCAACCAACAATTCAAGGTATGTTGTGAAAGCCAGGATACTTCCATGGCAACATTAATGAGACATGAATCTTCTACAGCCACAAGGCAGACAGTGCTGAAAATCCTTGGAGCCAATTGTAAGGGTGGTAGAGCTATAAGGGATGATGACTATGTAGCATCTCCTATGCTAAATTCAGAGCCCTGATAGGGAAAGGGTGAGACTTGAGTCCTGAATGGGGATGTTTGAGAAGTTGAACATGAGAATTTGGAACCCTCCAATGCTCCTTACCTTGAGTGATAAAAGTATCTCTGCTCTATTGCTAGAGGAAGTTAACCTCCTTTTGCCTGAAGACCATGAAAAGGAGGTGATTTTTATCCCCTTCAAGATCTTCTTCCATTTCTCCACAGTGCCTCCAGAAAAAAATAGAGCTAGTTCTAACCATATTCTGAGGGGGGAAATCCCACCTATAATCCAAGAGGAAATAATATTCTAATTGAAAAGAATCCCCATGTCTGGCTGTGGCAGGCTGAATAATGGCCACCATATATATCTAGGCCTGAATACCTGAAATCATCTTTTTATATGGTAAAAAGACTTTGTAGATTGTTAAAAGTCTTCAGCTGGGGAACTTATCCTAGATAATCCAAGAGAGCCCTAAAAGTAATTGCAATAGTCTTCATTAGAGAGATATTTTATTACAGAAGAGAAAAACACAATATGATGATGGAAAGAGAGATTGGAGTGATGTGGCCACAAGCCAAAGAATGCCAGCAGCCACTACAAGATGGAGGAGACAAAGAATGGATTCCCCCCTGGAGTCTCTAGGAAGAACTTTCCCTGCTGACATTTTGAAGCTGGCCCTGTAGGACTCATTTTGGATTGGCCCCCAGGACCATGAGAGAATAAATTTCTATTGTTTTAATTCACCAACTTTATAGTTATCTGTTAAAGGAGCAATAAGAAACTAATACACTAACTATTATGTCCTGGCATAAACTGGAAGTTCCTTCAGTTTATAGAGGAGCAATATGGGAATTGTAGGAGTAGGTAGAATGTAAGGCTGAATAAGAAGAGTTCATTGACATGGGAGCACTTTTCAGGATTCAGAATTTAACATTCAGGCAGGGATGCCTGGAGCTGGTCCCAATAAACTGCTCAGATGTCTCTTTGAAGTTGGATATTGGTTATAGGGCCTCTGCAAGAACCATTTTGGCAGGCCTACTTGAGGGACCGTGGGACTGTGGGACTGTGTCTCCCTTCAAGTCACTGGATGGGCAGATGTGTTCCTAGCCTATGCTTCAAAGGGTAGGAGCTGGATTATGGGGTCGCTTCCAGATCTGCAGTTGGGCCTCCCTCTGAGAACACAGAAGAAGAATGTGTCTTCTGACATGTCCCTGGACAAGCAGGATTATGGGTTCAATTCCAGGTCAGGGCACATACCTAGATTGTGGCTTCAATCCCCAGTGGGGGCATCAATATTTCTCTCTCTCTTCCCCTTTCTCCAAAATCATTAAATATATCCTTAGATGAGGATTTAAAAACATTTTTTAAATTTATTTTTTGCACACAGGGATCATGCTCTCCAGAGTTACTAGGGAACATATGACCACACAGCTCCCCATTTGTCCCCTCTCTATCTCAGGGCATCTTAATGTGATAGAAAAAGATGAGCTGCATTTTTAGACTTGTAGAAGCCTGATGAGAGAAATGAAATAATCCTGATCTCTAGGTCTATGGTTTACTAACAGATCAACTATACCTGAACTCGACATCCTGATGGGGAAATTTGCAGGGATATTTTGGGGAAACCAGGCTACAACCAACCAAAGAGCCATTCTCTGTGGGATATAAACGTGTAAGCATTCAGGGCTCCCTAGGTTTCACTTCTTCCCAGAAAAGAGAGCACACAGTGACTTGTTATAATTTGTTGAGGGAACTGACACATTAGTTTGCATATCCATTGCCTATAGTTGGGCAGGGCTACTTTGAAGAAACAATAATTATTATCCCCTACCAAAAACAAACAAACAAACAAATAAATAAATAAATAAATAAATAAATAAATAAATAAATTCTATGCTCAGAAATAGCAGTTCTGAATCTTTTGTCCTAGCTACTGGCCCCAGAGGACTTCTCCGTTAGTCCAAAAAGAGAAAAGAAGGAAGTGACACTGGAGGCCTCATCATGTCAGTGACCGCTTCCCTGTGATCACCCGCCAGAGGGCACCCTGCACATCAGGGTTCCGGAGGCTGTAGATGACTGGGTTCAGCATGGGGTTGATGACAGTGTTAAAAATTCCAACAGCTTTATCCTTGTCTGAAAGCTTGGTGGAGCCTAGACGCATGTAGTTAAAGACACCGGAACCATAAAATATGCCCACCACAGTAAGATGCGAACCACATGTGGAGAAGGCCTTCTTCCTGCCCTCCGCTGAGCGGATTCGGAGAACTGTAGCTGCCACGTGGGCATAGGAGGTGACAATGAGAGCCATGGGTGTACCTGCCATTATGAAGCCAACAGCAAAGAGCAGCAGCTCGTTGAGTTGGGTGCTGGAGCAAGAGAGCGGGAAGAGCTGTGGGAGGTCACAGTAAAAGTGATTGATCACATTGGGACCACAGAAGTGGAGCGTGGATATGGCCACAGTGTGGGTCAGTGCATTGGTGAAGGCACAAGCCCAGGACACAGCCACCAGTATCTTCTGGACCATCTGGCTCATGCGGGTGCTGTAGGTGAGGGGCCGGCAGATGGCCAGGAATCGGTCATAGGCCATAGCTGTTAGCAGAAAGCAGTCCACACCAACGAGGAGATGGAAGAAGAAAAGCTGTGTGAGGCAGGCTCCATAGGGAACTGCACGCTTGTGGGACAAGAGACGACCCAACATTGAGGGAACAGTGACAGTGATGCACCCAACGTCCAGCACTGATAGGTTCCCCAGGAAGAAGTACATAGGGGTGTGGAGTTTGGGTTCCACCAAGATGGCAGCCAGGATGCTGAGGTTGCCCCCAACTGTGAGCAGGTAGGCAAAGAAGAAGAGCACAAAGACAAGTGGTAGCAGCCCCGGTGTGTCCACCAAGCCCAGCAGGATGAATTCAGTAACGGCTGTCCCATTGGCCCCAGATTTTGGCTGCATTAATTCCTGCAAGAAAAACATCCAAGGAGATAAAGAATCATTCTTGTCTATATATTTATTCAAAAAGAGTAAAATAGACTCCTTTCTATGTGTTGAGCCCTTTATGAGTCTCATCTCTCCAAGGACACACCAGGACTATTACCTCTCTCACAGCATTTACCTCAATGGCTTTTCTTCATTCTCGGATATATGGACAGGTGACATCATCACTCTAAACCTCCCTCTCTGTCTTTGGTGAAAGAATCTATGTGTAGAGATTAGAAAGACAAAACCCTTGGGAAAAATAAATAAGTAGAAAGTGTATTTTTTTATTTAAACATCGCAGAGTAAATCTGGAAATTTCTTCTCAAATCTTATCTCTTCCCAAGACAAACAAAACAAGAATAAAAATATAGATTCTATCTTCAAAAAAACTGGTAAATATCTCTTAATGCACAAATTAGATCAGAGGACTTCAAGAATGGCGGACATAAAATAGGAGCGTGGCAGAAAGAATAAAATCCAGGACCATAGGAAAATCTAGACGAGTACAATTCTCCATAGAAAAAGGGCACTCAGTAGGGAATAAACCCAAAAGCCCTTCTTTGCAATAATGAGAGTAAGGTGCATAGTATGTCATCATTCCCTCTGTGATCCTGAGTTGGATTTAAGAAGCAGAGGAGAGGTAAATGACAAATCTCACAGGCAAGCTGTATTTGCAGGCTAAAGACAAACCATAAAGCTGGGTGAGATAAAGAAAACAGTTCTAGTGACCTATCGACAATGATTACAGACATGGAAATGCTAGAGTAACTCACCCCTAATTTTCAATCATAAGGATGCCAGAAGACATAATAGTTATGCAAATGAATGCTCCAAATATCTGGTATTGATACATACAGCCAAAAGTTCAGGATTTCAGGCAGAAATAAGATAAGAGTTAGTGGATTTTACTAAGTTTTATAATAGACCTAATTTGACAGAAAAGTAAGGCTATAGGAGACTTTAATATAATTAATTATTCAAGAGGTAGAATTGATATGCTCACCTTTTCCACGTGCCCATTAAACATTAACTCTCCCCAAAGAGCATATGTAAACTAGAAATTCAGCAAATTCTAAAAGAATAAATAATTCATACAATAATATTTAATCATAGTCCAATTTAAAGAAAAATGATTTTTACAAATAAGTCCTAATATTTTAAAAAATTGTTAAGAAACAGGTGGACCAAAGAGGGAAACAAAACTAATAATAAATAATATCTGTTGGGGGGAAAGGGGAGATAATGAAATCAACACACATCAGAATAAAGGGTTATCACTACATCAATGTTCAGAAGAAAATGTATAACCTTAAATAAATATATTAAAAACCAAAAAGAAAAAACATTATTTAAATTATCAATTTAAGAAGTGGGGCAAGATTAGTAAAAGGGTGCAAACTTTTAGTTAAAATACCTTTAAATTATCAAATTAAATTATCAAATTAAGAAGTGGGGCAAGATTAGTAAAAGGGTGCAAACTTTTAGTTAAAATACTTTAATCAATAAAAAAATGAAAAAGACTATCAAGAATTCATTTTTAAAAAAGAAGAAGAATGAAGTTTAAGGATTTAATGTATATAATGATGACTATGGTTAATAATATTGCATTGCATCATTGAAATTTGCTAAGAGAACGTCAGTGTTCTCACCAAAAAAAAAGTAACTGTATGATGGATGGATGTAATGTAGGGATCTTTTCACAGTGTAAATGTAACATAATCATCATATATGTTCACTTCAAACATATTACAATTTTATTGTCAGTTACATTTCAAAAAAGCTGAGAAAAAAAGTTAAGATAAAATAACATTTAATAAGCTCCTAAAAAAATGACAAGTACAGGAATAGACCTAAGGTAATATAGGACTTTAGTACATGATCTAAGTGACATCTTAAATGAATGGAAAAATGTATTGTGCAATAAATTATATGAATAGGAGCAATAACATAGCTATCCTGTAAAAACGTAAGTTGGATACATACCTCATATATTTTGTAAAAATAAAATTCTAAATGGATCAAATTTTTAAATACAAAATTAAAACTATTGGGAGGGAATGTGGAATTTTAATAGGGTAAGTATGACTCAAAAGATAGAAAAAATATATAAAAAACTGACTAATCTATAAAAATTTCAAAATACCATCAATTTAGCTAAACTGGATTCCATTTCCCAAATTCCATTCCATAAGCTTCTAAATTAGGATTGGCCACAGGGGAATTTGCATGGTAGTTATCAGATAGAATTGAAAAGGAAAAAATAGGCCTAGCTGGTGTGGCTCAGAGATTGAGCATTATCTTATGAATCAGGAGGTCAGTGTTCAATTCCCCATCAGGGCACATGCCTGGGTTGCTGACTCAATCACTAATGTGGGATGTGCAGGAGGCAGCCAGTCAATGATTCCCTTGCTTCATCAATGTTTCTATCTCTCTCTCTATCTCCCTTCCTCTCTGCAGTCAATCAAAATCTTTTTTTAAAGGGGAAATTTGGCAATATTTTTTCAAAATTACAAAAGTGTCTTTCCTTTTACCCAGAAATTCCACTTTTGAGAATTTATCCAACAGATATATGAGCACATGTGAAAAGTGCCATATGTGTGAGGCTGCTTGTTGCAGCACTGTTTGTAATAGAAAATAATTGAAAATAACCTAACTGTTCATTATTAGAGGACTGGCTAAATTCATAATGGTAAATCCTTACAAAGGAATAATATGCAGCTATAGAAAACATCTCTGTCTGCTCTAATTTGAAATATATCAAAGCTATATTATTAAATGTAAAATACAACTTGTAGAATGAGTACAGTATGCTTTGGTTTACATTGAAAAGGAGGAAAAGAACACACACATTCATACTGATATAGTAAAGTATAGTATAATATAATATGAATTTTCATTTGTAAATATATATCCAGAAGAATACTCAAGACACTGGAAATATTGCTCTTCTCTGGGGGAGAAGATTGAGTAAGTGGGAGACAGAGTGATAGAATGAATGATTAAATAATATTTTAGGGGGGAAAAACAAAAGGAAAGCAAATCCATTTAAATAAGCAAATAAACTTATACCTGGGCAAGTAAGTATAAGCAAGAAAAAAAAAAGGTAAATGCAAACAATTACAAATAAAAAATATTACAGACAGAGATACACAAGAAAAAAATAAAATTTAAAAGAATACTCCCTATAGCTCTATATTACTTAAATAAAAAAATTAAGTAAAATAGGCACAATTATAGAAAAATGTAAATTAAAATATATTTTAAATAGTCTCAAAATGCAAATAAAACAGAGGGAAAAAATGTCAAAAATAATTACTCTAGTAGCAATTCCTAGGCTCATAAAACTGTTGAAAGAAATTTTGTTTAAACTTTAATGAATAAAATATTCTCATGCTATATAAACTTCCCTGCAGCAGAAAAATATTAAGCACTCCAAAACTGCAAAACCATACAACCTGATATTATGTTAATACTAACACAAAAACACTCAACACTCACACTCTCACACACAGAGAAATAAGACTTGAAGGAAACACCAACATTTATCAGAGATTTGAGTAATAATACAGGTGATTTTTATTATCTTTCTTCTAATCTTCTCCACTTTCTGATTTGTCTACAATTAATATAGTTTATTCTAATAATATTTTATAAAATACCACCTCGTGGGCATGATCAAGACATTCCTATTAAGTGCCACATCACAGTAAACTAACAGAGAAACCAGAAACCACTTCCCCTGTGATTTCCATTGCACAGGCTGCCCCAATATCTTTAATGCTGACATTCCCTGATAATAATCAACTAACTGTTACCAAGACACTTACTCAGGACTAGGCATCCTGTACAGGTCTAAGTGCTTGGCATGTATTAACTCATTTATTCCATTTCTAGTAGATGGATACCATTTTTAATTCCTGTTTTACAGAGGGTGGGGATGGTGGGCATAAGTCACATAAAGCAAGTGGCAGAGGCAGGACTTTAACCCATGTAGTCTGACTCCAGAGCCTGCTCTTAACCTTTACACACTCTGCTGCTCTAAGAAACCCAAGGTATCTCAAGGATCATGAGGCCATGTCCTTCTCCTCAATTCTCTCTAAATCTATTTCTGACTCATTCTTATGACTCAAAGACCCAGGCCCACAATCACTGTAGCTGTGCCCTTTTAGATTCCAGGCTGTGGTAACTGAAGTCCAAGTGAGTACCTGGAGTGGGTCACAGTCACAGTCAGCAGCTGCCCCTTAATTTCCCTTTTTGTTTTAACCCATGCCATCAGATTGCAAACTTTGTCACGTTCTATATTCCCATATTTACTCATGTTATCTCCTCTACAGAAAATGTCCTTCTTCCAACATAGTCAAAATTTTTAAAGCTCAGTTCAAATGCTCCCTCCTCCAGAAATACCTCCCTGGTCTGTGCCCATCTTAAAGTGACATTTACATCTTCAACATTCCAGCTGCATTTTGTCTTTTATGTGGCCTCACCGCTTCACCTTCTGGCCCAACCAGTTAGTCATTCAGTGTACTTCCTACAGTCCATTTTAGGATAAGATTCAAGTCAGATTCAACTTTAAGGACTATATGCAATACATAAATTTTAGCTATGTTCCATTCATAGATAAATTAATATATCCTGACAAAGAGGGCATCATTGTGGCCTGCAGGAGTGAGGAAAAGGCTCCTGGACAAGTTGAGATTTGTGTTGGACTTTGAAGAATTGATATGATTTGGAGGCGGTAGAGTCATGTAAAAGACACAAGGTTAGTGCTGTAGAGAGGCTCCTTCATTTGTCTAGATGGAGCATGCAGTTGTAGCAATCCACACACTGACATTTTTTTTTATATAAATTTCCCACATGTTTTCTATAATCAGAATAAATATTCCTTTAAAATAAGTAGGCCATAAGCTGCTGTCCAGTCTTTAATCAATAAAGGATGAAGCTTACATGAGAACTTCTAATTTCTGAGTTTGCCCACTGGACTATCCATTCAGGACATC